CAGGTTGACCCTTCACAGATGTCTACCAGATATTATAGTTCATCTTTACCACTAATGACAGCATGGAAAGTAACCAAGCAATTTCATGTGTCTACTTTAAGCCTTCCTCCTTGCTTTTTTATAGAGCTAAAATTGTAGTTAAGTCAAAGGTTTTCATATTAAGTTTCTCATTTACACTAGTTATGGTTTCAACAAGGGGCTTATGATTATAGTATATCCTCACTAAAATGAGAATGACTTGAAGTTTAGATGTTAGAAAAGGTGATATTTTAGAATATATAATGTGCTTAATTGTTAGGTTATTACTGCTAATACTAACACTGAATACTATATTCGGGTACTTTTTTAAGTCTGTGAATACTTTATTATTAAATCAGCTGTCACTTTCTAGTCTTAGAACACATTTTTATTCAGGTCAGTTTTAAGGTGAAAAAATGGAACTTGTTAACATTTTCATTTGGGAAGTGATTTTAAAAAAGTTTCTTTAATTAAGCTTTTAGAAAGTTCAGTTAATTCAGCAAGGTCAAAGCTACAGTCTTTTTTGCAGCCAGCTAAGTCTATACACAAAACTGAGTAGAAGCTTTATGACTTCTGTTTCCAGCCCCCATCGGATGGTGCTATATTTCTTCAGAATATGAAGGGATGTGTAAAGGAGTATGTTTTAAGGATACTTGCATTTACTGAATTTAATACCAATGTTAGAAGTCTAATTTTTTACTTCAAGTAGTTCTGCAGATCAGTAGTTTAAAGCATGTGTCCAAAATCCAAAGTTGTTTAACTTCTTAACTATGAACATCTATTTTTAGTGTTTGTGGTTAAAGATTAGCAAAATTGTATTCACTGTTTAATAGTTTCTGTCCTTGTATTTGCTTTATGTGTAAATGACAATATATAAGCTTTGAGCTGTGACTGCACTTAGTTTCTGCAAATGCTTAAACAGGATAATCTTTGCATGAATTGCATGGATATATTTAGAAGTCCTAAATAGATTGTGCCAAGAAAAATGATTTGTCCAACATTTTAGTGCTGAAACTTGCTCTTCAGAGAAAGCTGCCCTCCTCCCATTCCTTCCACATTTAGACGTATGTGGGGAGGACTTCTGAAACGCACACTCTGTAGCTGTATTTTGCATGACATTGCCAAAAAGTCCTTCTAGCACTAACTGTATTCTGTGGATAGGATACTTAATGCTTCTCCTATATTGTGTAAATTTGTGAAAATTCAGAAATAATTATAACTTTTCTGTAACCTTTCTTACATAGTCTTGACTTTTAGGTTGAGGTGACAATTTGTCACTTAGCCATATACCTCTAAATCTGTAGGCAGCTTTACCAAAACCGTGTTTTTAATTCTGCTATGTATGAATGCAGATGTGATTCTGGTATTGGAAAGGTAGGTCAAGCAGGATTCAAATGTTTATGCAGTTAAATAAAAAGATAATGTGAGAATTCATAGTGCTTGGGAGAAGTTTACTGTCAGCTCTGGGGAAAAAAATAGCATTATGTTGTGACATTCCACTGAGCGATGGACCTTCTGACACAGCAAGATTCACTTGCTTCTTAGCACAGAACTGATGAGCCACAGAGGTGAGGAAAATGCAAAATATTTTACAGGAATTCAGCCTTGGCAAAAGGAGCTTTTGGAGTCAGGATGATACAAAATTTGTATTAACATACACATTTATGTATCAATGCCTTTGCACTACTGATTATCTTTAGTTTCATTATTTCAACGTGTCTGATAAGCAGTTATCTTCTAAACCAACCTGGAATTACCTTTAAAACAATATAGAAATAGTCTCAAGAACTAGAACTAGTTGGTTTAGAAGATAACTGCTTATCAACCGCATTGAAATAATGAAACTAAAGATAATCCTAAGAATTAGGACTATTTCCACATGCATGGAAAACTATCTAAAACAATCATGTTCAGTTGTAGTATTTTTTGTGCTTGTCCCTAAGAGTGAAGAAAATCACAGTGGAAGTTTTTTGATGGAGTAGAGCATGCTGTAGTAGAGCTGTCCCCTTTCAAAGTGTTGTGGACTTTTTTCGTACAGCAGAACTTTCTAGAAAATATTTGCTGATGTGACCTACATTACTGAAATACTTTTAAGTTCTGCTTTGAAATGAAAGCTTCATATTTGCATAGATGATAACTGTGCCCTTTAAAGATATGGTGTACATATTTGGGGACCACAAAGCAGTGTGTTAGCATTATAAAGCCTAGTTGCACAAAGGTTTAAAATGAACCTTGTACCCAAAGAATAACTTACTCCTTTTAAGATAGGTAAATTTCAGATAATGTTGCTTTATAGTATGTAGTTCATCAGTGTGAATTGGAATAGATGTTAAAAGTTTGAAGCGCCTATTACCTAGATATTACCCAAACTCACAAGTGGATAGTGTGATGTGGGTAGTGAGATAGAATATAATTTGTGTGTTTAAATCCTTCTTTAGTGTATTCACAACATTTTTATACTGTACAATGCATGCCTATTGCATGTTTCCACTGCCAGAAATGAAAGTAATACAATTCAGAGAAACAAACCTCTTTTTTTTAGCTTTGTAGACATGAACTAAGGTGTAAAGAGGATGGGAAAACTTTTTCTTCTGCTTCCAGCAGCACAAGACCTTTCACTTTGGATACACAAAACTTGCAAAACGGAATGGTGCAAGGGTGAAGTTACAATCATTGCACCATGTCAGCCAGTGGAGCAGTTCACAAATACATGTTATATGTTTTACTTCTCCATTTCCCTGTAAGATCCATAACCAAGTGGGCCAGTATTAGGAATTAACCCTGATGGAGCTCTTTTTTACAGGCTTCTGCTCTCTAGAGCAAAGTGAAGTCTACAGTGATGACCATTTGCCAGATAGATAGTGTTATCTCAACATATATGTATATAGCAATGATCAAAAAACAAATAAGAAAGTCTTATTTAGTAAGCCTGTAACAAAGACAGTGTCACACACATAGTTCAGTCCAGTTTTTACCAATACTAGTTCTTTTCCCCTGTCAGCTGCAGAGGTAGCAAAACGCGTTTTCTGTTTACTCAGCATTAGTTTTTGCAAGAGCGTTTACTACCCACCAAGTACGGACTTCAGCTGAACTTAAGACTTCATTAAAAATCCTGATGAGATACTTTCTGAATGCTGGGGGACAGTAGGGAACAGGTGGAGCTTTATCACTGCTCACACCTTCTATAGAAAGCAAGTTTGCTATGGTAAGCAGGTTGTCCTATTGAGAAACAAACCTGCAAGGGCATGGAAGCAGATTAGTCACTTCAGTTTCATTTTGCTGCTTCTCAGGACAGCTAGAGAACTGAACGAAAGCCAACCAGTCCCAAAATAAGGCTGCTGTGAACTAAAATAGAGCTGGTGGCTTGTTGGCACTGAAACTGGGTTGAAGATCACCTCGCAAAGTGTGAGCAGCATTTGGTCTGGGATGTGGCAGGAGACAAGAGAAACCTACTTTTTTAAGTTATCAAAATTATCTCTAAGGGCTTTAAAAAAAAAAAAAAAAAAGGAACTGATCAAATGAACATAGCAGATTGCTTGCCCAACAGGAAACAATTACTCTTTATAGTTGTTGGAGGGAGAAGGAGTTGGAAAAAAGGCTTCTTTACCTTCATCCTAGTGTTGTATCAAGTTGACTAAACTTTCTAAGAAAGATGAAAGTAAAATCTTAGTTTCATCATCATCATGACTTGTTTTGCAAAGCTGTTGACAAGTCATAGTTTCTGACCCATAGCAAACCTCTATTTCAAAGCTTGCTTTTTCACTCCCCAAATATGAAGAATGCCTGCTCGCTGAGGGACGTAGCGTGAAATTAATCCATGTTCTGCTGAACTGTCATGGAAGGTCACAGTGAGTGTGGGTCAGATACCTTCTGCCCATTATATATGTGCTAAGTGGATGGCTGCATCTTGAGTGAATTTTAATGGTCATGGGATGTGTGTGGTGTGTTTTATTCTAGTCTGTTGAACTACTACAGTGCAACCAGAGAGTAGACAACAGTGAAATTAAGGAACGATTACAGGATTCCTTTAAGTGCAATACAGTCCAGCCAGAAGCCTTGCAAGTAGAAGAGATTAAGGTTTTACGCAAGCTATTTTCAGTCTCTGAAGGTATCCCAGAAAGACCAAAGAAGTTAGAAGTCATCTTTTTTTCTGTCTTTGTAACTTGGGTGTGTTAGAAAATGTGACGAAATGTCTTAGCTGAGCATAAAATGAGTGAAAACATTTATGCTTTATTATAATAACTTTTATTACCTTCAGTGAAAATATTTGTAAGGCATTATGGTAATTCTTACTAATCTTCATGTGCAAAAAAATTGTTCTCTATAAGGCTGATACCTATTAGTAAGCTTTGTGACTTTTTTTTTTCATAGTTTAGCTTTAATTTGCCAACCTTTAACCATGTAGCGCTGACTGTTTGTAACTCAAGTCTTTGTACGCAAAGGGTCTCAGATTAATCACCCAGAAGCCTGGAAGTGCAGTCTCAGCAGGGGGCTGAGGGCCCATGTGTGGTACTTAGCCCAGCACCAAGAAAATGCTTTCTTTCATATGAGGTGACTGTCCTTCTTGTCCTGTAATTCCCCACCTTACTCAGTATTTAACTTCTGCATGAAATGAAATTGAGCTCTTACAGACATTAGTCTCCTTCATTAAACAGCCTAATGCTTAACTCTGCTGTGGATCACTAGAACTGATTCAGGCAGTTCTTCTGAAGGGAACAGGCAATCACAGGCTATCAAAGTGCATACATAGAAGAGTTCTTCACAGTGCATCTCTAGTTTTATATTTAGATGCTATTAAACTTACTGTTAAAAGTCAGGTCTTACTGTTAATAAATTCAGGTATCTTAAGCTTTTGTATCACTGTCCATCTCCAGAGTGTCTGAGCGTACAGCCTTTAGAAGGCACCTTTGTCTTCCTATCAAGTTTCCTGTTAAAAAGTACAGAATTTGTATTCCAATACTAAGGATTTTATTCTCTTTTAGGATCGAAATAGAATGTATGACAGTCTGAATATGCACTCTTTGGAAAACTCCCTTATTGACATTATGAGAGCAGAGCATGATCCACTTAAAGGTATGTTATTATGCTAAATAAAGAAAAGGGTCATCCATTCTGCATATTTGAATTAATACTGATTGCTAATTTAGATTCTAGGGTCATATTAAAATAGCAAATGAATTATTTTCTCAACTGACATGAAAGGTCAATCTCAAGCTGTATTTTATTGAAAACGTTGGTTTACAGTTGTTTAAAACTTAAGCTTTAGTGGTTTCATAGGTTTTTCTCCCTCTCCCCTCCATCCTCCCCTCCTTTACCCCAAGAAATTCATAGTTAGTTTTATTTCAAATTTACTTGTCTGCTGTAGGAAATTCTACTTCAGTTTGTAAAGACGCTGTTCTGTTACAGGTAGCCAAAAGAGGGTGGGAGGGGAATCAAACCGCTACCACTCATAGCCAGTTAATTTTCCCTTTCTTTGCAGTGGAAACTGAAAGAAAATTTAAGCCCACTGATAAATGCAGGTTTTATTCTTTCAAATATTTTTTTGAAAGTCCCTGGAGGATAATAATGCATCTAATTGTGCAGTTTGTGTTTGTCTGAAGAAGTCCAGAAATATACTTGGCTTTAGAATGCTTACCCTTCTGGGCTCTGTTCAAACCATTTGGCCACCGCAGTAAGCATATAGCTAATATTTGTGGGCCTCTATTCACTGTGCAGTAACTCACTCTTTTGAACTCTCTTTCTCCATACTTACTCTCAGGTGGAGTTTACCATTGAACTTTGGGGCAGGGAGGCCAACCCATTTCATTTGGCCTGATCAAATGTTACTTCATTTGTGGTGTTATAATTAGACTAACACAATCTAACTTTAAAATTATCCAAGACTTCAGGCTTGCTTTGCAGAAAGTAAGTCTCAGTATTGAAGCAACTGGAAAAGAAAAAAAAAATTCCTTTCTTTTTATATCGGTATTTATTCCCATCAGTTCTCCATTTCTAGAGGCTCCTAGACTTAATATATATTACATTGGCACATAATGGCCTGTGTTCTCCTAATTTGAAAGACACTTTGCTAGAGTTTGCTCATGGTTCTCTTAAGATGTGTAACCAATTGGAAGACCTGTAATATTCAGATAGCATGCAATAGCAGTGTAAGATTTACGATGTAAAGCCAAAAGTTTTGAGATTTTTTTTTCAAGCTGAAAATCTCTACAAAGCATCAGTAAGTATGTAGCATTTAGTTAGCCAGTTAATTTTCCTCCTCTTTAGAGTGGAAGCTGAAATTAATTTTTTTAGATGTTCTTAAATCTGATCTCTTGTTTCTTACTGCCTACAGAGAATTAATTCCAGTTTTAACCATTTTATCATTTAAGTCCATTATTAAATTCAGTTTCTGTCTATTCCGCATGTTTATGAAACATTACAAAGTAAGACAAAGGGGTTGAAACCTGTGAACAGTTAGCCCAGTGGTAACTGCTGTGGGCTAAAAGTGTGCACATGTCATCAAAGACAAGGTAACTTGTTAGCTCATCCCTGTTTCAAAGCATTGTTGCTTCAATTTGCCACACTCAGGTGGTGACTAATATTTCTTTGGTTGTCTGAACCCAAATCTACCATCAGGAAGGATGTTAAAAGCTAAAGTGACTGTTAGGCATAAAATCAGAGAATGCAGATCTTCTATCACAATATACTGTCAGTGGCACCTCTCACACTCCTGAAAACCAGTCGGTTTCTTCACTTTGTTTCTACGCACGCTGATATGACAAATGGAAGTGGTTGCTCTGTTCCCCCTGCCACCTCGCTGTTTTCATTTTGGCTTTATAATGCAGAAGAGTTTTTAGAGGCATAGCAAGCACAGAAAAGACCCATTTTTATTTTTATTCATTTCTTCATATTTCATTATGATACAATAGCTGAAAATGGTATATTTCCAATAATAATTTTTCAGCAAGAGTAAAACAAGACAAACCTTTAAGATTTTACAGTGAATTAGGTTCATACATAGACAATTTTGAAAAACTCAGTAAAGTTTCTGTAGTTATTTTGTGCTTTCTAGGGACATGAGTATATGGTTTCTGTCTACAGTTAAGAGGTTTTTTTTCTTTTTTTAACAGTTTCACCATCATACTCTGGCAGTGAAAATTCTGTTAAGTTTTACATTTGAACTAAAACAGATGGAAGCCATAGATAGTGATGAATTCAAAGGAAATCCATTTTTTTGTTCAAGTGCCAGAGAACAATGCACATGCCAACTGAATTTAAATAGAGTAATTGTGTGCTGTTATTTAAATTGGTTAAGATTTTTTTTTCCTTTGGAAGTTATTATTTCAGCTGAAACAGATACATTATTAACAGAGAAATGTCTCATTATTAACATGAGAAATGTTCCTTACTGACTGAAAATGGGAAGAAGAGATCACATCCTAGAATAGCCTTTTAGTGCCTTTCTGCCCCTCTTCTGTTTAGTCACCATTAGTTGGCAGTTCTGTAATTTCCTAGCAACTTTTTTTTTTTCTGCAAACCATGAAACGCTAATTCTGTTATTTCAGTCTCTAAGGCTTCTCTTTTCACCACAGAAAATCTGACATTTACTTAAGAACCCGTCATACTTGCTTGCAGAATGCACAGGATTAAGAATATTATTGTTATTTATTTGTTGTTCTTATTAATATATAACAGTTTTTTATAACTAAAGAATATTTTGTAACTAGAGAATATTTTTATGATAAGTTTTTAAGTAAATCTAAGCACACTAAAACAATGCATCTTTTATATCTGACCACAGCAGTAAAATGAAAGTCCCTGGAATTTTAAGCACATGTTTCAGATTTAGCTGCTTACAATATCTGGAGTATGACTAAGCATCTCGTCTCAGATTTTGCACAATGCAGAACAGACACTGTGTACTAGCTCACAGCTTTAAGTTTTGCGTTTCAAGATCCTTAGAAGGAAGTCAAATTTCACCACTTTTGCTTTCATGAACTTGAAAAAACTTTATTTCAAATATGATTCACTGAAAGCTAAGTTCATGCCTGCCAAAAAACTGTTTATAGATGCGTAGTTTCAGCCTCACTTAGACAAAGTTTAGTCATTACTACAGACATGATCAAAAGAAAGAAGTAATTTTTAGCTTTCAGTAAGGCATTTTTCAAGGTAGGTTAATAGGGAATAGATGCTTGACTTCACTAGTCATTGCATCAGAAATACTGATCATATTAAAACGAATCTTTCCCATGCAGCTTTCTTGAAATGCATTTCATAACAAGACATTAAGTAATGTTTAAGATTACCCCATCCAATCAATTGAATATAAACTGAAGTTAAAATAAATTAATTCATTTTTACATAATCGTTCTTAAATACACTTTTTACTCTTCTAATAGCCCTTAAAACTATTTTGAGAGAAGAATTACAATATTGATAGCCTGAAATATGTGCGTATTGGTAGTGTAACTCTTTTCTAGACGTACCTCCTGTGTACTTGCATTTTTTTTTCCCTTTTCCTCTCCCATATTACCCATGCTTCTTGATGTCAAGATGTAGAAAACTTGGATTCTAGACATTTCAGAAGCAGGAAAAGCAATACATTTGGGCTAAAAGAGATTATGGAAAAAACTTCGAAGAAATGGTTATATTTTGTATGGATATGTGTTAGAATTGAGGAGCAGGTGATTTAATGGAATGTGTTATCTACTGTTTTAAACATCTTTCTGGTAAAGACTGTGGTATTTTCCATGTCATTTAAGGGCTTGTCTTTTGTAAAGCAAGAGTATTGATACTGTACTCAACTTACAATTAATTTCTGTTTCCTGACCAACTGTCTTATAGCTCTGCAAGCTAGATGTAAGATAGTACTGAACTTGAATTAGCCATAGCTATATTAGCGGGAGTAAGGAATATTAACTTTCTGTTGAATTTTTTTTCTGTTTCTTTGTGAGGGGCTAAACAAATTTTTTAGGAAAGTTGCACAAATAAATTTTTTTTATAGCTATTAATAATAAAACACTATTATTTGGCTTATCTGTGGGGAAAAATAACTTGATGCACTTAGAAGTCTGTCGTGCTTTTTCTTGGTTTTGTTTTCCCTTTAAATTGGTTTAGTTAAGCTTTTCAGCTGTTAGACATCTTTCTTTTAAAAGCAAACTGCTGGCCCATGCTCAGTGAAGTAAAAAGAAAAGCACTGGTGACTCAGCATCACAGGAGAGAACGTTTTCTTTCTTTGCATATGGTAACTTTTGTTTTCAAATAATTTTGTGTTATGAAGCTCTAAGGTTTAAAGATATGCAATTGCTTCCTAGAGTAATTCAGATTGCGCTCAGAGAAGAGTTTCTGAAGCTGAACAAAGAAAGTATGGAAAGAAAAACTTTGCTTTTAGTCATATAAAAGGATTTGAAATTGTACATACAGATTGTTTCCTCTCTCTGCCATAGAAATTTTTTATGATAAAATAATTTATTTAAGACTGATAGACTGATTTGCCTAAATAGATTGACTCATTATGACTTACGTAATTCTTACACAAGCGTTTCAAAGTGTAGTATCTAGGCTTTCTGTAACTAGGTGTTGTCCAAACATGGTTTTGTGCTGTTGTCTTAACTACGTCTATTCAAAAACTGAGCTTTCTGAAACTGCTGCAGTCCTCAGCCATTCACTGGTCTGTTAAAGTCGTTTGGGAAAAGCTTAACTTGGAAGCTTTTTCTCCTCTAGTCAGGAGATCTCTTGAAAAAAGGAAGATGGGAAAGGAATTTGTGATTCTCAGTCTCTTCAATCAGCCATTTAAGACTTTAAAAAGAAAGGGGGGGGGGAAGTAGACATGAGATATCAAACTTGTGAAACTCTGAGTCAGCAATTTTTAAAGCAGTCATTAGACTTAAATCTATGCCAAATGTTTTAATATATGGGGATTCCTCCAACAGTTTAGTTAAATAGGAATAGAAAGTATGCATTTCCAAAAGTAGATATGAATTTGCCTTAAAATGAAAAGTGAGTAAGCACAACTACATCTGTATGCTCAGAAGCAGCTTACAAAAAAATTAAAATTTCCATTGCCCATATTAGTAACATGAGATTACAGAAATGTAGCTAAAACTAAGTTTGTTATTCTTTCATGGTTTGGATTAGCAAGACTTTTAACTGGATTTAGTGGATAAACTGGCCCACCAAAATTTAATTGCAAGTTTGGGTTTTTTTTTTCTGTCCTTACAGAAGAATATATTGTGAGAAATACATACCAGGCAGTTCTGTTAACATTAATCGCATTTAGATATGGAGGAGGGGGCTAAACTTAATAGAATTCTAGTTGCATAAGAAATGTCAAACATACCTGCTTCTCCTCAGCAATGCTATTTTGAATTTAGCCATCATACATGAGAATTACTAATTAGTGTTAACGTGATGAAGTTGCAAGTTCAGGTTTGCACAGAGAAAATTTCTGTAGCACTGAATATAATATAATATACATATAATATAATACATATAATACAGCACTGTAATATTAGGCGTTGTATTTGTTCCACATAGCAGCATGTTCTAATTTTGTATGCTGTAGAGCCAAGTTCTGTAGACTGTCAGTGTAGTGATTACTTTTCACTTCTCAGGAATGGAATACATCTATTATTTAAATATGAGTTATTCTCTGACTAATTTGTAGTTGATTTTAAACTAGTAAAGCATCTTTATATGTTATTAAAATTTCTTTTTTAAGCAGGTGGAGGCCACTGGAATTGCTAGAATATCTATTGAATGGTTTCTGTGATTCTGGATTACTGCATTGAAGTACGATGGGATTAGATAGGATTTGTGGTGAGGGCAGTTCTTAAAATGGTACTTCTTTTTTTTTTAAACGTATCGAACAACATGCAGTGAAAATAGCTGACTAGAAAGGAATAAGTGATAGAAGCACAGTAAATTCTTACAAGATGGTGCTCCCATCTTCTGTATTTTATATACTGATATTCTAAGTCAGGTTTAATATTGTATGTGTCCATTTAGCTAGAATAATCTATTAAAAAATATTGTAATCTGAGCTCTGGATAAGACTGATCTTGCACCCCGTTCCATGCATGAAGTGTTCCGAATTTATGTCTATCATTAAATTCAGGTGGATACCCTAGAAACACTGCATTTTGCTTCAACAGATTAATCTGAGGGATAGGAACCTAAGTTAACATATCAAATAGCAGTGATTGTATTCTGAAAAAGTAAGCAAACCTCCTATGTTAACAATGTTTTTAAGGGTGTAAGTCCAAGTACTAGACCAGCAGTACACACAAGCATTAAGTTCACCAGAATGCAGTAATACAAAGTATGATGTCATTGAAATAACTGTGTAAATAAGACTTAAAGGAAGTATCAGTACAGCTGTACATGTACTGAATACTGTTACTTATTTTCCTAACCCTCAAATCATTCATTATCTGAGCTAGCAAATTCATCTCTGTAACACAGCAAGATTGGGTTTCTTTGCATTTGTGTGATTTCATAGGTTTTATGCTGTAGTGGGTCCAGCTCCCTAGTGCACTGTCTCCCCGCTACTTAATGAGGAGTGCTTTATTATTTCAACTTTTTCAGTTTGGCATCTATGTTTCGGATGTGAAGCTATAGGGGAAGAAGGCAAAAGAATGCAAAACCAGAGTTGTAAACCCAGGATTTACTATCTTATACGACAGTTTTCCTCTCCAGGTGTTGACACTGGTGGGCTTCTCTCTCCTGCTGGGCCTTAAATATGACCTCTTTTCCTGCAGTAATTACAGAAAAACTGTATCTCCCTTGCGGAATAGGAAAAAAAAGATAAATGTATACAGACCGGGAGAAATACTGTCACTACAGACTCGAGGAGGTTCAAGATGAGATAATTTCTCATAATTTCTGTTGTTATTCTAGATAGGTAGAGCATTCTGATTTGCAAGAAACAGCTTGTATTTTTGCAGGTATCTCTGTAGCACCGTATAGAAACATGGTGATGACAGTAAATAATCTTGTTAAATCCTTGCTGTTAGGCAAATGAGTATTACCTTTACAGACCAAAGAACTAAGAAGTAAAGCAAAATGGTTTCTTATACACCAGGCTGAGCAAAACAGTGGCAGTTCCCAGACTGCAATTTAAGAATGCCTTGTTCCTAATTCTTTTCTGTTATACCAGCATGCATTGCTAGAAGGGCAGAATATTTATAGTTCCAAGAAACATCAGGTATAGCTGTAAATGTTCAGCATGACAGAAAAAATGGCTTGTATGTTAAAACTGGACGTCTTAAAGACAAGAAATATGCAGACAGAGGCTCCTACAAAGATTTTTGTCTATCTTTTCTAAGCCTTCTCAAAAATTCTGCAGACATTAGAGAAGACAGCAGAGTCCTTTTGGGTGGCATTCATCTGCCCTTTTCCAGGAGACTGCCCTTGTCCTTCACTGCTTGCTTCACACTTGCAAATTCCAAAGCAAATAGTTCCTGCCTAATCTGCAGGTGTTCTGATACCATCCATTCTTACAATAATGAAATCTGTGGGAAGAGAAATAACACGTGGCTGTATAAAAATCTTTTTGCCACAATGCCTGTAAATAATAAGGCTGAATAAAATATCCTAAATGATCTTAATCTTGCTGTTTTGAAGTTTTGAGTGTAACAGTTCATAATGTATATTTTTTTCTATGCATTTTGGTAGAAAATTACCATGTTGGTTTCCTAAAGGAGAAGAGCAAAACTTAAATCCTATTACTTACAGATTTTCAGCAAAAAGGTTTTTTTATTTAACCCCAAAGGTGTCCCTTGGGACACAGAGCTACTATTTTGAGAAATTTCCAGTCTTGCTGCTAATGACATGGGTTTACCGACAATGTGGGGGGAGGTGGGGGGGAAACAGCGTATGATAGGAATGATTAAACAACCTTAACATATGGATTGCTGAATTGGGTGGTTGGTTTTTTTTTTCCTTTTTTTCCTCTGTGTTTCTTTTTAGAACGAGTGAGCCTTATTAGTGTATGACAGTGTCTCACTAATACTTACTCACATCTTGCAAGCCAACTGCATATATGTTCCCCTTCAAAGCTCCATTCTAAACACCCATTGCTTCCAGACTGGATTCTTCTTTATGCTTCCACAAACATTCCCATTTCCTCCAAAAGATTTAAATGTCTCAGTTACAGTATTTTTTTATGTATGCTTTACAGATTATAAGCAAGCATGTTTGAATAGCGAGATAGATAGAAATGTACGGTTTTGCACATTAAAGCACACTTCTTCCAAACACAGCAGCTATTGTAAATGTCTCTCTAGGTCAGTGTGCACTACTGGTATGTTTGCAGCTTCCTGTAAACAGAAAACATCTCCTTTAATAAAAAGGAATTTGTAGTGAACAGACACTTCAGCTGTGCATTTTAAACTGTTCATTTAACTATTAAAGTATAACATGCCACCAATGTAGTAAAATACAATACTCAAAAAATTCTAATGTCAGGTTATGAGGTTTCCTTGTAATTTTTATTCAATATAAAATCTTGAAAATGTTATCTGTGATATTCTTTAATTTTGTTAATTCTGTAGATAAACCAGTACTCTAGTTTTGTCAGACTTACTGAACAATATTACAGACAATGGTTATATGTAATACACCAAGATTCAGTTCTGAATTGGTTAGTAAAATATTAACGCCTTAATTCCTATTAACATGATTTTTCTTAAATTGATTCAGTAGAGAAGCACTAAACTGTAGAAATGCCAGTCTGTTAAGCGATGTGCATAGTACAGTTATTCACAGTCACTATGAAAGAGAAGACTAAAGCAGTCAGCACTATTTCTGGGAGTCATGAAACAAAAAGTGGCTTTATCCTATTGGAGCTGATCCCAAAGCACATTGCAGATCTTATGACCAGAGAATTAAGGTTAAGAAGTTTGTTCTTGTCAGCTTTAACTTGGGTCAAGGGTATTGTTGGTTAATGTGCTTGGAGTTAAATATTAGCTCTTTATTTCCCTTAGGCAAACTGGAAATATAGTTTATATTTAAATTCTAAGCAGTGATTTTTCATTATTTTTTCCTAGCATAATAGCTAAAACCTCTGCATTTGTTTTGTTTTGTTCTTTGGTTTTTGTTTTCTTTTAAGGTCGCTTGAGTTACCCACATCCAGGGACTGACAATCTTCTGATGTTAAATGGTAAGTGCTAATCTTATAACAGTTTCTAATCATCTCTAGCTTAGTTTAAATCTGACATGTTGGTATAAAATTATACTATTATGTTCTGTTATTGAATTACGTGCCTCTAGTCTTCAACACTGATGGGACTGATGCCATTTTTCAGAGTTGAATGGCAAGAGCTAATCTTGCAACAGCCTTTCATTATATCGAGCTTATTTGAAATCTGAAATGCTGTAATGATGCACTGTTCTTTTTTGTTCTCAAGCAAACCAGTGGTATGTTCGCCAAAGATCTGCTAGAAATCTATTATACAGAAACAGGAATTAGAAAAATAAGGAGGCCAGAAAGGCATGTTTTTCTATCCTGTATAAATAAAGGGTGAACTAGATACTTTCTATTACACTTATGTGAAATAACATTTTATTTTTGTTGGGTTTTTTTGGAACTGGCTTTGTCAAATATGTTTCTAACTGTGAAATATGCCTAAGTTAGAGTTCATGTTCACGTTCCTCTCCCAGTAGGTCAAACTTCATGAACATCTGCTACTCAGTGAAGGCATGAACTTTAGCCTTTGTTCAAGGCTAAAGAAGGAAGCAGAGCTTGGTAATCCATCTAAGTCAATAATAAATCAGGAGTTTTGCACACAAATGTTTTCGACATTGGGAAAAATTAGAGATATAATGCCACAGCTACTCTACGTTAGTAAATGTGGAAGCTGTTGTACATGAAGCAAATACACTTTTGTCATTGACTTGATGGATCTAAATGTTACTAGTAAAGACCTGATTATTAAAAAATACAGTCAAAGTAGTTATTTCAGGTTTGTGGTTCTGTGGAGCTCTTTTTTTAATCTCCTTACTCTTCTGCACAGTCATTTACACTTGTGCAAATGGATATAAAACATAAAAAAAAAATCTAATATCCCTTGTGTAACACTGAGTAAGTGTTCAAAATTTTCAGGAAATTCAGATTTAGCTTTATACCCAGTAAAGGAAGATAACGCACAACAGACATTTGAAGAATTAGGTCCTTTGCTATTGAATAGTTCTTTAAGATAATCGAGTATCTTGAAAAGTGAAAACAGCTACTTAACTATTGAAATAAAATCAGTGTTTAGACCACACAGGCCATAATCCTGATTCCTGTATGTTGACTATCGATGTACTTGATGGTACAACATTTACAGCAGTTAACTTTCTGTATTTAACTGCAACTATAAGACCTATTCTGCAAGCTGGTTTGTTCAGGTGGTATATGTGCAATTGTCATTATCTGCTGATTTATAATGAAGTGTTAGATGGGAAGGTATTAAAAACTAAGGAATCTTATGAGCAACTGTGAAATATCTCAATGCAATCAGTGTAAGAAATTCATATCATTTTGTTTGTTTTAATACTTAGGTGAGCTTCTCCTTTTACAGTTTTGCGTGCTAAAAGAGCATGTGGGAAGCATTGTTACTCTCTGGAATATGTAGGGAA